GTTCAAAGATCACCGAGCGATACGTTTTGGGTAGCTCTTTACAGAAAAACACGCAAACATACAATGCCCGTAATCTTTTTACCTTTGTATTTTGGACATACAACTTTTTTGTTTCCCAGCAATATGGAAGTATCCACATTGTTAATACCATAGAACTGTCCATGTTGCACTCGCCACAAAACTGTAACGCAATACTGCGGGAGGCAATCCCAAAGTTGCATGCAAAATACTGAACAATAATAACACTGGTTCAACGAGAAACCGAGAGTGAAGGCACGCTGGTTTTTTACCCACTGGTGGAGAGAGCACATGACATGAATAGCATTGGTTCGCAACATGAGCATTGAGATCAAGTACGCGAACCAACTGGGAGACAGCAGTTTACACAAAACTCGTACAGTTGTAGGAAGAAATACTGTGGACTCCCTCTTCGACGGGCAAATAAAAATGGGAGGGCTCCGATTTTAGTATACGAATTACTTAGCAGGTCTGCAACATAGACCATCAGTTTCCACAATGTTGTGTAGCCTACAATGTTGGCTAATTCTTGGGCAGTGTTTACAGGTTTTTTTTTCAGGCAATGTGACAATGGCCGCATTTTAAAAATATTTCTCAAAGTGCACACACTGAAAGTTATTTAACTTACTAAAATTCAGTGAACATGACATATTATTCTGAAAAAGTGAAAATAAAACAGGTTTACCTACAAATTCATATCGCAATAGAACAAAAGTGCTTCACACATGGGTTACTTTTCTGGTCCATTGATGTATAAACTTTATAAGTATTATTTCTTCAACCTCAATTTGAGGAAAGAACTCGTGTACAGAGTTAACTAAAAATCCCAGATCATATGAATGCAACTAGCAAGGGTTTTTGTTTAACATGAACTTTAAAACAGCTGAGCACAAAACAAGTGACAAACAACAAAGCATTAGGAACAATTTCTTTTTGCTACGCTTCCATCTTCAAAAGGACCAGCCTTCATCCACCACAATTTATACAAAAGATTGTAGACCCACTGGAAATACTTGTCCCCCATACCCCCCCTCCTCCCCCAACAGTTGTTAATTGTTACAAAACACGAGAAAGATAAGAAAAAAGGACTGATTCGTTAGATAATATTGTAAACGTCTAAGGAAGGATTGATGTACAACTCTTGCAGTGTTACTGACCTGAAGACATGGTCAGTTGTTGGGCCTTCTTGCACGCTAAGGTATTTCATTAGGTCTGATGTTAATCATAAATTTGGGCGAATTTCACAATGATTTATTCTATTTTCCATTACTCAAAGCAGATTCCGCATTTGGTGAATGTACAAAGTTCACTACCGTACATCGAACTTCACATTGTATCGGATACAACATATGCACAAATTATGACATCACATGTTCCTGTCAAAGTCATCCCGGTTGAATTTTGCTTCACTTCTCGACATATGGCTTCAGGCTGGTGATTTATGTTTGCAAAGTTGGAGTGATATATAATTTGAGGACAGCTTCAAGTCTAAGGAAAACAAAACTTATATTGATAAAATAATTTCCGCATTGACAAGAAATCCACAAGTCAAGAAGAAACTTCTGTGAGAATTTCAAAAGACAAGAAATCTGTCAAACTCCAAACACGGAAACTTTCATTCACGCTCATAGTTACTTTACTCTTAATTCATCCTTTTCGCCTTGGCTGCAAAACTCGAGCAAACACCTAGTCAGAAAGGTCAATGGTTTCATTCCGAGCTCCATCTACAATAATAAAAAAAATATGAATATATAGCACCTTAAGACACTGAACACGCAGATTTGGTGACTCCAACGAAATATCCTGAACTTACACTCCAGAGACAAAAGGTGAAAATAATGTTACAACTCGGGTTCACTTAAATATTCTAGCCTTTAGTAATTAGTGAATAAACAATAGCATTGCCAATTTATGATGACAGTATGGACAAACATACGTTTTATTTTTTACTTTTTTTTACCCGAACATGGATGAATACATTTGTTACGTTTGTCTGAACACAAAGATTTGATACCATATTATATGGGAATGAAGGTAAATAGAGCAGCTGTATCCAACCTAACATATAGTGTTCCACTGCAACAGCACCGTGACTTCTATTCTGTTCCTTTTTGGGTGAAACTTGGCGGCAGCATATGATACGCATTCACAATATCAATGTACTCGAGTTTTCCGGCTTTTATTAGGTCTAAAATATCCATACAGAGACAGTTTATGCAAGGCATTAATTGTACAATAATGTCTTTCTGTGGTCCCTCCCACAGCAAGAAAATGACTTCCATCCATGATAATGATCATTTTGAATTATAGACGTAAAACCCTGTAGACCAAGAAAGAGTTCTAGAAACACAGTATAATTCAGGTCCTTTTTAGGAACCTTGGGGGGCGCCTGAAGGAGCAAAAAATTATGATTGGGGAAATTTGGGGGGGGCGGGGGAGCATGAAAGAGTAACAAAATTATGTACGGAATTAAATTCAAGTCCTCTTGATTCTTTTTAAGGGAGTGAGCTCAGACTACTTGCACAAAATATTCCAATACACTTTCCTCGTACTGAAATGTTTTCTATTATGTCTGTGGAACCACAATTTCAGCAGCATCCAGTATACAAAGACAAATGGATGGGTGGACGGATTGTTGTGTCTAGTCACGCCGATGCTGCATGGCTCTTTCTGGACTCTTGTTCTTGTTCACATGAAGGCTGGTCCCAGAGTGGCTTTGTAGGTCTGACCTGTAGTTCGCATAGCTCGCATAGCGCAAATGAACGTATACATTATCATGAGCTTGCTTCGCTGTGTGGTCTGTCTGTTGTCAGCTGAGCTGCGCGACGCGTCAGATGTGCTTTTCAACAGTGTTGTAAAACACGTCTGACACGTCAAGCACGCAGCCTCGCGTCGTGTATATTTTCGACTGAAATTTTTCACAGGTCATCAAAATCAGCAAGAAGTAAGTATTATTAGGTGCTTTACTATTAGATATTGATGCTAGCATCAACACTTGACCACAAAATCCAAAGAAATGCACTTTATCCTACATTAAAATTTCAAATTGACAGGTTGACCTAGTGTCGACTGTCTGGACTGTCTGTTTACAATAGTAGGCGTGTGTACTTCTAGGCTAGTATTCAAAGTTCAGGAGACACAGAAGCCAACGCACAGTGCGGCTGTGCTGACACGCAGACGGCGCGCGCTAAGCGAGTTACAGGTCAGACCTACAGAGCCACTCAGGGACCAGCCTTAAGGATGAGCTTCCTCAATAGTTTCTCATGTCTTCTGTTCACTCTTTCAATACCAAACCTCGGACAAGAAGAAAGCAGTGTGAAGATAAAGGGAATGTAAGCAATGTCAACTTCTTAAACAAACCTTGCCAATGTGCCTTCATGATATCATAAAAATCTATCCTATGAACTTTGAACAAATTGATTAAAAAAAGAAAAGAAAAAAAAAAACGAGTGAGAGAGGGACAGCTTCTCTTGAAAGAGGCATTAACTGCAGAGCAGTTGGACAGCCTTGACACAACCCCACTAAGAAAGATATAAGAACCGGTTTACGTGCACTGACATCTTAAAGTACACAAAAAGTTACCTAGATTGAAGTGAAAACACGATGTGATATCTCAATTAACTATGGCCCAACCAGTTTAGATGGAAACTTGTCAATGAAGAACGTTTCTATTCACATCCATATTACCAATGGAGCATGTATGGCATTGCCCGGAGGGCTATGATGTTGTTCCCAGAGCAATAGCAACATCAAAAGTTGGCACAGACATACAATTACTCCTGCTTCAGAAATCCAGATTCAAGCTCAAATGCTATCCACTGATCCCACCAGCATGCTTTTACCTTATCTTAACCCCTGCCAATAATGACTTTCGGACAAACTTCTGAACGGGGGGCTCTTGTGGCCTAGAGGTTAAGGTGTTGGCCTCTCATTCAAAGGTCTCGGCCGAAAAATTTTCTTCTCTAAAATTGTCTCCTTTCACCTCCTTTCCTGCTCTCTAGCAATGATCTGTTGTCTGCTTTCGTCTCCACTTTCTGCCCCCCACCCCTTCACCTCATTTGCCCCTCCTCTAGGCTTCTGCCTCTTTCTGCAGCCTTTCTAATGCTACTCTTTGGTTGCTTCTTACTGCTGTCTACAGCCACACCCCTGATCTTCTGGTAGGAAAGATCAACACCTAGCCTTCTCGGACAAGGTGAAAAATCTCGGAGGGCCCGTGTGCAAGTTGCGGCACGTTAAAGATCCCTTGATGGTGATCTAGAATCAATAAGAGTAGGCTTCGGCCGCCACCCGGGCAAAATTCAAAATGTCCTTCCAACTAAAAAAAAGCTTAATGTTTCCCGCGCGCTCATATGACCTTATGCAGTTACGAGCCCCGTAAAACACTTACCCAACCCCCCCCCCCCCCCCAAACTTCTGAACATTTCATGCCAAGACACAAATGTGGGAGGCAGCCAGAGTGACATGCAGGGCACAGATGAGGAGAAAGGGAAAGAGATGAGTTCGAGGATGGCCATGAGAGGGATCAAAGGCGTGCAACGCATTGCAAACTGGGGAACTGACAGACCTCAGCACACATTTTTACTATTTATCCCTTGGTCTAGATGACCGTTCGGGCACCAAGAATGATCGGGCCACCACTTTTCTCCTTCCTTCTTGATTTTCAGCCTTTCAAAGGGCTTCACCCAACTTTAAGCCTGTCCAGAACCCATTGCAATTGATGTAACTACGTTCCAGTACACTATTTGATGTGATGCGTTATAAGTCAGTTGTACATTGTTAAAAGACTCCGTCGCTGACATTCATTTCTTCCAAGTTGGTCAAAAGCAGAAACCTGCCCAATGCCGAATTTCTTTTACAACTCCCTTTGTGATTTCGGTTTAGACAATGCTGAATAAACAAAAGTGAAAAATTAAAGAAGAGAATGGAAGACATTAAATGAACAGTAAATGATTGCATTCATAGAGACATCGAGCAAGTCAGAATCTGTTCACAGCACTTTTTTTTTATGCCCAGCAAATAAACAAACTGTGGTTTCAGTACAGCAGACAACCGTCCAATGCCTTCACAGTGATACATAAACTAACCACAGAGGAATAAAAATTAATTAATAAACTAAATAATTAAACAGCGTTACACGAGACCCATTCACACATAGATATACACAATGCACAAAATTACAACGCACAAAAAATGACAAAAATAAAATAACACATGCAAACCGTCAAATGAAAAAATTCCCCCGTTTTGCCCCCAATCTATCGAATCTTTATCACCGTCCAACATTCATAGACACACAAACAACAAGCACACATTCTGATAAAGGCCACATTTAATTCAAAGACATTTTCTCCCTCATATTCAGCCCTACAACAAGTACACACCCCCAACAACCCCCCCACAATCATCCCATTTCCACCGGACTTGATCGGTCCGAGTCTGTCTCCTCGTCCTCCGAGTACACCGAGGGCGTGTCTGTAGCTGCTCTGTAGTTCTGGTCGTAGGATCCCGAGCTGGACTGTCGAGACAGGGCCGTGACAAGCTCAGCATCCATGGTGTCCATCACATTGACATAGTTGCTGGATGATGACTGTGAGGTAGACTGCTGCTGGTACCTGCACAAAACATGGGACACGCTCGCTGACATGTAACAAGATACCGTACACAGAAATTATTTTAGTTTAGTCTTTTTTAGAATAGGTTTTACGGCGCTCGCAACTGCATACGGTCATATGAGCGCCAGAAGATTAGAGGTGTTACAAGAGAGAAACAAACATAAAAAAAAGAAGGGGAGATAAGGACAATAGATGTTAGATAGGAAAGAAGAAGCAAACCACACCAGGGCACCCGCCAACCACCGACAGAAATGATTTGAAGAACATTACTAGGCCAAACTAGAAAGAAGAAAAAATAATAATCACCATTTACAGTATTTAAATCTCCATCCACAACAACGGTAGGTATTCCATCTGCAGTCACAGCACAATAAAGTGCGATTAAAGATAATGAAGAAGGTTCCTCTGTTTGAATTTTAGTCTCCTATACTTGCATTTTTAATTATTAAAAACCTGTAAATTCTTTGCCGTATCAACAGGCCGAAGATGGCCGCTGGATCAGAAAGGTAAAGTGAAGTATACTTGCATTTTGTCAACCTCAAGTGGTGAGAAAATGAGAAATTAAAGTTGTGATTACCATCAACCTCTCTCTTGGTTCAACTAAGTACTTTCTCATCTCAACCATAAAGTAAGTCAAATATAATAAAAAATAAGGATCTCACTTGCTGTCTTCAAATGACTATAACTTGTTGCCACTGAATTTTTGTATCATGCTCGGCTGAAGGGTAGGCCTACATTGGTAAAAGAATGAGGTGCCCAACCCACTTTATTCTTTTAGGGGATTCTTACCTTTGGTTACAACAATTTCTCTAACGATTGCATTCTGAACCTCATAGTGTCTGGGCCTGCTGACCACTGTTAGTTTGCTTCCCTTTTCCTATGCTATAATTTGAAATTTGAGAGGCTTGGTCAGGGTTCAAGTTGAACATAAATGGTCGCTTTTAACCGAGAAATGTTGTTTTCAGAAAATCGAAGTTTAAAGTTTTTGGATCCTTATTAGGTTTCTTTAAAAGACAAGGAGAGTTTTCTCTATAACCAAACAAATATACACACCAATGAAACCAAACTTCTGGAAAACCACGAAATCTGGGTTAGCCCGCTTGTCCTTAAAAGCCACCAAATAGAAGTTGGAACAGAAGAGATGGTGAATTGGGTTTTTGCCTCCCTTGAAAACCAGTATGCTTTAGCAAAGGAGACAGCCAGTAACTGACATGTTTACTCTTTGGGATTCCGATTTTTATTTCTGTGCCCATTTCTGGTGAAGACACTTCCTAGGCATTTTTATGCTCATGTTCCCTATTGTTATGCCAACCTATAATGTCATCATTTTCGCCAAACTTTCAAACACCTACTGAGATGCATTGGTGTGCATTGTAAAGCTTACGAGGTGACTGGCTCTTGAATGTATATCAATTTCACTCCATGCCAAAACATAGTTTTCAATAAATTTGTACTGGCACTTCCCTTCAGGTAACAAACGGAAATTCCATGCAGTCTACTTCTCCATATTTCTTTGAGCTGAATAACATCTGGCTTCCTGTATCTCAGTTCGTTTCCAAAATAATAACACTGTTACAAAATCCCAAAGATGTGTTCAAAATAACAATGACGAATTTTTGTTTCAGTCAGCCAACTACATGTCGTACTTACCGTGCTTGCTGTGCTGTCGCAGATGAAGGGTCAATGGGTCGCACAGCACTTGATTGAAACGGTTTGGAGTTATTGGCCATATCTAGACAAGGGAGCAAATGGCAAAAAAGACATTTTTGTTGTGAGTAGTTAAGACAAAGTCCCTACTCTATAAACAGCTTATGAACTTACAACACTCTTCAAAGTTGAGCGAGGAGCACACTGTCAAAAATGAAACAATTATAAAAAATACCCAAAACTTTCACATCAACAAGGCCATTCCACACAAAAAAAATGTCACCTCCAAGTTAACTAATTTATAATGTTAATATCTCAAATTAAAAAGCTGTTACATTGACCACACCACAGGTCACAGGATCAAAAACTGTTAACAGTTTGTTTACAGTAATGTAAGTGTAGTTTAAGAGTCATTTTGAAGATAAGCAAACATTTACACCTCATGCACATAATCTTGGTGAATATGTTTTGTACTTAAGATATCTAGTAAAGATGTGAAAATGTGTGAGTATAGTTAATTTCAATAAAAATATGTGTACGTCCTAAGGCTCAATATAAAAGAAAACGATTCGAGTGTTAGTATTATTAGTAAATATAATAGGACAGATCAATGGGATTTTTATCTCCACACATACATTCTTATCACCAGATAACTTACCTATAACATATGGTTCTAGGGACTTGGGCACCATTTTGGAGGCTCGTTGCAAATCTTTTGGTGTACACTGGCCTCTCTCAAGACCAAATGCCATGCCCATGCGTTTCAACACTTCGATGTCATCGTGGATCTCAAATGTGTTGTCGAACTTGAACAGGTACTCACACCTACAACAGGAAAAAAAAAAATTGTGAAAAATGTAATTTCTACGTATGAAAGTACTTCTAAAACAAAATTTTTTACGAAATCAAAAACAAGCCATTTAATAGCAACCATTTAAGTTTAGTTTTAGTAAGAGTTTGACGACACTTGTAACACAATAACGTCATATAAGTGCAGAAGAATAGATAGAGGTGTTACAAGAGAGTAACACAACAAAAAAGGAGGAGAAATCAGAACCATAGATGATTGATTGGAAAGAAGGAGCAAACTGCACCAGAACACCACCAACCACCCACCAGCAACTATTTGGATAGAAAGATACACAGACTTAAGTTGAGACGTTTCCACAGACCCCTTTGTGTCTTGTACAGAAAACATCCAATGAAGTAGTGAGGACGAGAAGTGGAAACACCATAACGCCGTATGATTGTTTGTTTGTTTTAGTAGAGGTTTTTCGGCGCTCGCAACTGCGTAAGGTCATATGAGCGCCAGAAGATTAGAGGTGTTACAAGCGAGTACCGTAACAAACATAAAAAAGAAGGAGGGTAGATAAGGATGATAGGTGTTTGATAGGAAAGAAGGAGCAGACCACACCAGAGCACCCGCATGCCGTATGAAGACCTCCTGATTTCATCCAAAAGACAAAAACTGAAGTGGTGTAGGTACATGACATGATCATCTGGACTCGCCAAGACTACCCTACAGAGAACCGCACAAGGAGGGAGGCTAAAAGGCAGACAGATGAAACGATGGGAAGATAACATCACATGGGGGGGGGTGTACACGCAGGCAGTGGGCGCAGCAAGAACACAACTTTCAGGATGTACAAATTTCTGTAAAACTACAGTACTGATCGGTATCAGAGTTCATTGATTGATTCATCATATGGATTCATAATCTCAAAAATGTGATGAGCTACTTCAGTCTATGTCAGTTTCAGCACAACAAACACAGTTGATATCTCATCATCAGATCGCGACCTCTGTGCTTTTTTGTCTCATCAGAGCTCCACTTTTTTTAACACTGAAAATGTGACTTCTTAACTCATTCGCTACGTATTATTTTTGGCCTGAGGACTAATTTTTTTCAGGATTGCGAAATGAGATGATGACTAATGCGCAGTTCAAAGGTCTTTGGGGGCCACAGATTCAAATAAATATCAACACATTATACACCGGAATTTTCAGTATGATTTCTGTAATGTTTATTTGTGTATTTTTCAACTTTGGTTCTTGTAAGAAATGATTATGCAATAACATTTTTGGTTGGGTGCGAATAAAATTTGAAAATAAAAAATAATCATCTTTGATCAAACCCTAAAAAAGTTTGCACCTAGATCTAGTCAAATGATTCATCAAAATAACCATAAATGAAACACAATCCACACAATTCATACATTTGGATCATAGCATCCCATACTGAAAAAAAAACAAACTATTTTTTTTACAATCTTGAAAAAAGGACAAGACGCGTTCACAAACAGACCCTGAAAATGAATGAAGACTGCTAAAGACATGTATACCAACACGTTTGCAAGCATGACCTAACCACCTACTTGTCATTGGAAATGCTGCAGTCAATGACAGTTTTCTTGCTGGTGTTCACAATGATAAAAGGCAGTTGAATGGCAGAGTTTGATGCAGGGGGACCTTGGGATTTCTCCAGATCACGATTCCTTTGAACCAAGTTTTTAAATGCAATTTGCTGAAAAAAAAATAAAAAATAATGCAACTATGAGTATACACAATACAACTGATCTAACAGACACTGAATAACATTTTAACACACCCCAAAAAAAATTCTGTATGATTGAATGGCTACATGCAAAATCAGTTACAAATTTCATAACATGCACTACTGTAGATAAAGAAAACGAAAGAATGAACCATTAAAAAAAAAACACTACTTTTCTCATTCCCAAACATTTTTTGAATTCCAAGAACATACAACATTACATTCTTTGTTAAAACATTTTTTTCACGACAAAAATAATATTTCTAAAGGAAGGCATGCCTCTCTGCACATCACTGCAGTGAAAGTTAGGACTGCAATTTGAAAAGGCAAAAATGACATTGAAGAAGCAGAACTTTTTATAGCTACCCTCTTTCAACAGAGAGAGAAGCAGTGCAGATATGATATCAGCGGAGTTCACAGGAGCCAATTCACTCACCTGTAATATAAGCTCTTGAAGCTGTTGTGTTTTATGCTTTATCCGTTCAATCCGCTTCTGTTTTTCAATCTGTGCAGAGAAAATAATAATTTAAAAAATTAGTTCAGGATGAAACACTCTGCCGTAAGCTGACAAAACGCCTTTTTCCCCTTCACAGCAGTTTCGAGAAAAAGAGGGGTTTCTTTCTTCAGCCTAACCCCATTTAAAAGGTGATTTCGAAATCTTTTAATTGAAATTTATTAAAAACTAGTCAGTTTTACTTTGATTTTTTTCACATTAGTAGGGTAACTGATTGGGCTTTTGATTAAGCAATTAAAAAAAATTTATGCCAAAATGAAAAAAGGCGTTTTGTTCGCTTATGGCAGAAATGAATGTGTTTCTGTACATTAGTCTACTTACAACATACACAAAAATTGTTTGAAACTTGTTCAGCTAAGTAGTATGTTCAGTGTTTACTCAACACACAGACTTTTAAAAAACAAACCCCCCCCAATATTAAGTTAGGATTACTACTGGAAAAACATTTTGCATGATCTTTTTTTTCTTGACAGAGCTCAAAATCTGGATGCATAAAAAGCATGCTCTTGACATAGAGCCAACTTTACGGAAACTAATCTAGGGTCTGGGGAAAATAGGCACCATGCTACTCCCCCCCTTAAACTGGCAAGCTCTTTAATTACCCTGCATATTAGTTTTAGTTCTGAAATATTTCAATATTCGACCTAGGTAAGCAATTTCACACAAAAACATACTGTCAAACTAGTGAATACACCTACTTCTAAGTGTTGACATTCTTGAGCCGAGTTGGTGGGTAGGCCAATCCATCTGATCTCCTTTTTCTCTTTCGAAATGATGTTCATGGCCATGAGTACATTGAGGGCATCGTAGACTCTGCGTCGTATGTTCTTCTGATCATATGGCTGGACATTGACCAAAAAAAATAAAAAAAATAATTGTGAACCACATGTAAGAAATCAATGACAAAAGTTTCTCTCCAACCCCGGAAAACAACAAAATTAATTGATAGCACATTGAATTTTATTTTATCAAAGCACATAAAAAAAAACCCAACCACCATCCCTAGAAGTGAAATGTAACACGAGTAAAACAGTAAACTAATACTGCGAAATATTTTTTAAAAAAAGGAAATTACCACCAAAAAAAAAAAAAAAATACTTGATAGTAATACCGTTCCAACTTATCATTAATTATTTTAAAAGATTTCAAAACAAAATGAGAAAGAAAACAAAACAATTTTATAATCCCACATTTCAAGGAGAATGTAAAAGAGAAGTGAAACCAACATCATACAGAAAAATTAATTACAAAATGTTTCCCCCCAAACCACAATAACAACAAAACCTACACGTGAGTAAAATTTTGTTTTAGTGGAGTTTTTACGACGCTCGCAACTTCATAAGGTCATATGCGCGCCAAGGGGTGGATGTCAACAGAGAAGTCTATACAGGGAATCAGGCTTACTCTGCTCACCTTTCTGGCTTTAACATGACAAAGTCTGCCTCGACTATCAAGGCACCCCGGAAATAGAGGGTAACAAGAGTGTGATATACATACAAAAGAAGTAGAGGACAATGACGATAGTAAGGATTGGTAAAGAAGAAGCAGCAGTTCCCTGTTGCAGTTCAGGCACTTATGAGCATGACAATCATGAATCTGCCCATTTACAATTCTACTGTGCATAAGAATAGGTTAATGTCCCCCCCTTTGGGAATGGCCTAGAGACACTCCAGTCAGTAGCACCACCTGTGTGTGTGTGTGAGTGTGTGTGTGTGTGTGTGTGTGTGTGTGTGTGTGTGTGTGTGGTGTGTGTGTGTGTGTGTGGTGTGTGTGTGTGTGGTGTGTGTGTGGTGTGGTGTGGTGTGGGGTGTGTGTGTGTGTGTGTGTGTGTGTGTGTGTGTGTGTGTGTGTGTGTGTATGGGAGTAAAGTGTGACTCTTACTTATCTCTAACTTATCACAAAACACACAAAAAAAACCCCAAACAAACTAGGCATAAAGCATAACTTAAGAATAAAACTTACCATGACAGCATCGGAGGGCGACAACATGTTGAGGGGGTCACTGAACTCTGCCACCAGCTCATCAGCCACTTCATTGTAGGAGGTGACACCCTTCATCTGGACCTTCTCACAGACCTTCATGGAGAAATGACGCAGACCTTTGCCTCCTTTGTCACCTTTCTTGCCCCTTTTCCTGAGCAGAGAAGAAACATTGAAGATATTTATTTAAATTTACTCAAGTCCCCCTTTCCCAAGCAGAAAGAAACATTGAGGGCATTATTTAAAATTTACCCAAGTCTAGCATAAAAAATATTCCCTTGTGACTGATATTCATCCTTTCAAAAGCAGTTAAACATGTCTAAACAATTAAAAAAACAACCCAGGGCAACCGATGTAAATAATATAGTGTGAGGCGCATAGAGCTTGCTGTAGAGTGGGGTTATACACTATACAATTGATATCAATGATCATTATAATTAAATTTACACTTTCACGAGCATTTATCTCAGACAATGATCAATCTAGGTGAACGCAGGGACGAGCGACAAAGGGAAAAAACTAGGGCTTGTTGAATGAGCCTCAGTAACAGACTCATCAAACTAGGCCCACATCTCTACAACTGACCTGACATATCGTCGCCTCAGAACTATTTTGTCCAAAGTGCCTTTTTTACTGAAAAGCACTTTGGACAAAATGGTTCTGAGACGACCATATGACTCATTCCTGAGAGCCCTCAAAAAGAAACAAAATGAACAATTTGTTAGCTTATTTTTGACCAAGCCAAATTTCCACTAACTTTTCGTTAGTTGGGATACAAACTGTATACAAACTGTAAAGGTAACATACTCAGCTGAATAGTCAGCATCAATGAAATCTGATGCCCTTTTTCTTGCAGACCATGGAGATGTGGCGTCCACCTGAATAACTTGGGGCCTTGCAGGAGAGGTCATAATCTGAAAATGTCAAAATAATGTATACAGGATCTCAAAAAACAAGTTTAACTGATAGCAGAAATTCATGTTCCTACAAGTACCCTCAGCTAAGTAACATTTACTGGACTGCCTTTTGCTAAATAATGTAGCCAAAAGTAAAGACCACCCATTATTCCCAAATAACCAGAACTGAGAAACCCTAGCATGAGGGAGAGAACAAAAATGACAAAAGACAAGCAATGGTGACATGTTTGCAACCAGTAATTGAAGCAACTTTTCTTACCTGTCGTGTAGTAAGAGATGGTTTGGGTAGAAGGTGAGGTTGTTCTATCTTGAACGGAGACATTTTGCTTGGTGACTGGGCGATGGGAACTGCAACTAGCTGGATGGCTGCAATATTACGGAAGGCTCATATTACTCGCTGCTATACACTTGTTATTGACAAAGAAAGGGAAAGGAAAAGAAAAGAAGTAAAGCTACTCTCTAAACAATCGGACAAATAAACTAAATCTGCACAAGTTTCTACAAAACAAAAGAAGGAAGATAAGCAGAAGCTGTTGCACAGGTTACATACCTAATGTCATCACTAAACATTTCTTATACAATACATAATTAATCACCACTATTACAGATTTCTTTTACAATATATAACAAATTTATCATTACTAGAGATTTTTTAAAAATTATCTTGGTCTGAAGCACACATCACAACTTTACTTTTATCAAGCAGAAACCTGTGCTGCAAGAATGACATTGAGTAAACACACTGAAGTATTTTTATGATGACAAGATAATCATCATAAAAATAAAACAGTAATAGTATGAACCCAAAACCGGTCATGGTAAAAGAATAGAAAATGGCAACCTTTTCTGCAATGCTGTTTTATTTGTTGTCTATATTCCATTGCCTTTCAGTAAAAACAAAATTGTATGCACTGAATGACCTGGGCTTATGCAGATGTTTTCTTGTTTCATTTAAAACTATATAAAAAGCAAATACTTTCAGAAAAGTTAGATGCGTTTTTCTAAAAAACATATAAATCAATGAAACTTTTCTGTGAACGAAACTATTGGTCATGTGTGTTTATTCTATTAATAGTGGTGCCTTGTTCGGTTAACCCGTGAACTTAGTACTTAAACTTCAGTCCAAACTCCAAAGCTTTTAAATCATCCTCAATGCGTCAAATGATGTCTCATCACTGTTGGCCTCACTTATGAATCAATTCAATGAAAAGTCCTTTGTACTTACGCTAAATAACTAAAAATAAAACTTCAACTGACACTTCTTGAATTAATAAACAGCAACACCTGCCAGTCACTTCAAAGCAGGCAGTTTTCACAGAACTCGCCAGGCACCTAAGTGTGCTCAATCAATTGTGCTATGGGTAAAGCACTCACATGACAACATGTCAAAGCACCTCATCTGAACAAGCTAGAGACGTCCATTCCCTCTGTGTTCGCTAGTCATTTAAATTTATAAAAGTGATAAAAGCATTTCTGTTGCTGTATCACACCGCCACCGATCGGCGTCCCGTGGGGAAAAGAGACAGCTTCTTACCATCACCAATAGGCGTCCCGTGGGGGCAAAGTGTTAAACAGTTGGACTTGTTCGATCTTTTTGACCTTTCCTTATGAGATTACAAATAGGATTCGCTGCGGGGTTTTTTTTATAGACATTACCATGCATTCTGTGTTGAATACCAGTTGAAAAAAAAAAAAAGAAATGGGGAGAGAGAGATCAAACAAATATTGGACTAGTGATGGCAACTGAAAGGATAACACTTACGTTTTGATGTAGCTTGCTGTTCAGCACTGAAACCTTTGATTTCACCTGTGGGATCCAGTATGCCAACCTGCAATAATGACAAAACTTATTGCATTCCCTGTCAAAGGTAATTAACAGTTGCAGAAGTTGTCATATGTTCCACGAGAAACAAAGAAAAAAGACTAAATTAAACTTATATAAAATTTGCCTTTAACGTATTGTGCAGTTCCTTACCCAAAAAATACCACAGGGCAAAATGACAACAAAACACTTATATATATGAACTCAACAATACGGCTGTAAGCTAATCACAATCTTTTTCAGCGACTCAGAGCAAGACCAAAATAACCGTCCATCCCTCCCAGAATCCACTGTGGTCTGCCAAAATATCCATCCCCCTCAGTGAAATAAAAAAACTGCACTCAAACTAAATGTGAACTAGTAAATCATCAGGTCCAAATATCAAACAGATTGAAACGATACAAATGGCTACCTTAGAATTACAAAGTTCTGATGTTTTTGGCTGTTTTGACCACGAAGTCAGAAACCAAATGTTCTCAGTGTTCTATAAAAATAGTAAGACTATTCGGAGTCATTATCAAGATATTTAAAGAATTGCATTCGAAAAAGCTTGACCTGTGGTGAAACTCAAAATTTTTAACATCAAATTTCTCAGGTACTGAGCAGATCATCACCATCATCATCCGGAGCCTTGTCAACTGGCGGGGGTGATCATGGACCTCCACTTCACTCTGTCTTGCGTTGCAGCGATGGTGTCTGTTGGTCTTGCTGTTCCCAGCCATGTTGTCAACATTTCCAGTATCTTTTCCCTCTGCCTCTCTTTTCATCAAACATGCCTGTATTCTCTAATGCTTCTTTCCACATTGTGTGTCCAAAAAAATCTGCCTGTCACTTTCGTATATTCGTCATAAGCTGTCACCTGTTCTTCTTCTTCCTCTTTCTCGATTACAGCAGCTAGACAGTCAGTCCGATGTCGCGTACAAACTGTGTAGTTCGCTTCAACTCTGAGAGACTGCCAGAGAGCTTTCTCTCAAGGGGAGCCACATTCTGTCACGTCTGTGCGCGAAGGGTGGCGTAGCGCGGGCAGGGCTGAAGGATATGGTTGGCATCCTCTTGGTCGTGTCCACATTCACATATCGCTGTCTCTCCCACTTTTAATTTGGCGTGCATATGGTTGTCATCTGTAATTTGTTCAACCAAGACTTCTTCATTTGTTTTTCTAGCTGTCTACGGGATATGCAGCAAAAGTTTTATGAACCACAACTCTGTTGCCTCAATTGTTCTTTCCAGCTGTTTATTGAATGTACATGCTTTGCACCCGTATAAAAAGGATTGGCTCGATGAACTTTTCAGTACTTTTTCTTGTTTCCAGAGACAGGTTAATGTTTGTATGTATCTGTTTCATTTTGTGGAAGCTTGCTTTTGCTTGGCAAAAGCGGCTTTTAACTTCGGTGTGACATCTCGTATCTGATGATATAATGGTCCCCAAATATTTAAAATGTACTTGTTTGAGGGCGGTACCATTGATTTTGATATTGCAGGTTGGCAGTTTTCTTGATGTTTAGGCTAAGGCCTGTGTTGTTACTCTCTTGTACGATGACATTAAATAGATCCTGTACATGTTCTTCATCTTATGCTATTAGGACTGTGTCTGCAATTCTTAGATTGTTTACGTAATGTCCCCCTTTCAAGATTGCTGGCATTTCTACTATATGTCTCATATTTTTTACTCTACATGGAGAACAAGTCTGGAGAAAGTACACATCCCAGTCTGACTCCTCTTTTAATCTGTATGTATTCGCTGATGTCGTTTTCTATTCTTACTGCAGCGGTTTGATCCCAGTACATGTTCTTGAAAATCCTTAAGTCCTTCCCACTGAGCAGACAGAAACTTTGTAATTCTAGGGTAGCAAAATAGTAGGGGAATATGCAGTCACAAATACTGCAATACACACTTTGTAAGTTGTAAATGGGGCACAGGAAAATGGCCAAAACAATGTTAAAAGTCAAAGCACATTATTTTCAAAAATATTGACTTACAACAGCACTTTTATTATACAACAGGAATTTGTTTTCACTCACATCTCGCGCCAGCGAATCCAATCCAGACTCCTTGTAGAACTGCATGAAGTCTTCTTTACTGTGGTTACCGTTACCACTACTAGCTCCACTGCTGCTTGCCTTGGACGGGGTCATCGGGGTAAATTTACGCGGACTGCCAGTACCTGAAAAACAGTAACAGAAATAATCATTTTCTCTGTAAAATTTCAACAGACAACACAATCTTCATAACTGTATTAGTTCACACAACTGAGAAGCAATGGTCCGTTTGATGAAAGTTGAAGTATCATACAGTACAGCGAAAACTAGAAAACGATCTAATTTCACTGCGAAAACAGATCAACTGTTTAAGTTACTGTGTAAGACTCATCAATACGCCATTTTTGATTCGGAAAGTGATGCATGACACTCAAATGACAGTCTCACACTGAGTAGTCAAGATGAAGGACACCAAAACAAAGGATCCATCAAGCACCCACTAAAACAGTTGTACAATATTCAGTATTGAAGACAAAACAAGTAAAAGTCAACATGCAATTTCAACAAGAAGTCAATCTTTTCAAGTCCGTCAAAATTCATTTCAACACAATGTTTACTCTAGAGTGAGAATAAGAAGTAAACAGTAAATGCTAAGTTCCTAATTCCAGATTCATTTTCTACAGCTATCTGAAATTACTTAGAAATATCTGAGACGAATTGCAAGATAATTTTTGGATAACCCAGTCTTTACTGATACTTATCATTTTGTCAAATTATCATTTTTTAATTGACAAAGAAACTCTACCTCTAAGCAATTGGTAAACAATAGTTTATCAACATGTCTTGGTCAAATTGGATGATCAAACTAAACAAAAAACACACCTAGTCACAACTGAACCTAATAGAAAGAAAACATTCTATTGACAACTTAGATTATAACTAAGCTTCCATAAATAAAACATCCAGGTGGTTTATAATATAATTAGTGGTACATTTGCCTCATAATGATGAATGTCATGCATTCCTTTTTTTGAAACAGCACTTTGAACCTCCCCATGTCAATCACTGAAGGACAATATGAAAACCATGCAGTGTTTCAAAGTAACTATTTCAACAAGCTCTATGACCTTATTCATAGATGTTCGTCAACATATTGGAAAGTTCGCTTGTACCACTCCTAAAGAGGGATTTGAAAAACAATTGTGGAGACGTTTTAGTTTTGGATGACTTTTAACTTTGAAAACTAGGGACAATAACATGATTACTTAAAAGTCTCACTTTATCTTATGATCATTTTAAAAGCCAACACATACTGATGGTCAGCGGCAGCATTGTGTTTAGCCCACCAAGACCTACGACTTAGGCCGGTCCCAGAGTGGCTCTGTAGGTCTGACCTGTAGATCCCCTAGCTTGCACCGTGCAAATGAATGTATACATTATTGAGGGCTTGAGCAGCGTCGCTGTGTGGTCTGTCTGTTATCAGCTGGGCAGCGCGACACGTAAGACGTACTAACCCGCAGTGTTGTAAAACACGTCTAGCTCGCAACCTCACGTCGTGTATATTTTCGACTGAAATTCTTCACAGGTCATCAAAATCAGCAAGAAGTAAGTATTATTAGGTGCTTTGCTATTAGATATTGAAATTGCATCTTGACCAAAAAATCCCAAGAAATTCACTTTATCATACATTAAAATTTCGAATCGAGAGGTTGACCTAGTTTCGACTGTTTACATTTGTATGCCTGTGCACTTCTGGAATCTCTAGAATCTAGATCTAGATTGATAGTTCACGAGTTGAGATGCAGAGGGATGTCCCTAGAAAGGCCTAGATTCTAGATAAAATAATTTACATCTGATCTAGATTTTACAGTATTTACCTCAGAATCTCTCGACTTATAAAATTTATCCTCATCATCACACAGTTGAGGATACAGCTTAGCCATGACCCATCTGTGTTTTCGCTCTTGATTTATTAAATTGGGTGTGGGCGAAAGCGTCCCTTTCTTTTTTCACCCAACAGCAAATAAAGTTAAAGACATTCCAATATCTCAACAGTCAATAACTAATATCAATAGCCGATAGCGGCGCCGCACCTAAAAATATACATTATAATGGCATAGATTACACAGACAGTACCTAAAAATAGCAAGGCAGACCCGTCAGTTGCACACCTACAGACACCAACTCACAGTGCGGCTGGGCTGATACGCATCGAGCGTGCCTCCCACTGGCTCAGACACAGACGCACAGAGCCACTCTGGGACCGGCCTTACTGTAAGTCACGTTAAAACCTTTTGTCTGAAGACAATTGTTTGGTTGAAGCTCCATCGTTAAAGATCTACCTCAATGTTCTGTTTCTGGTTTAGTTGTTGACAGTCTATCATTGGACAAGTCTGAGTACTGGCTTTAAAAGTTGAAGATCGACCGGGGTTGGGGGTGGGGGGACTGTAGTGGGCTCCAAACAGGTAGTCAGCGTTGCGGCTTTGTTACTGGCCAGTCCAGTGATGAGTAAGGTGGAGAAGGCAGCAGAGGGATATGGTGGGGAGAGACGCATATTACGTGAGCCACCCCAAAAATGATGTGCCATGGTCATAGCCCTAGGCCAGGCCAAAAAGACACTTAAAATGAAGAGGAGACGTGTAGTGTGTGACTTTCCAGTAATTCCCCTTTGCATTCCTTTTGCGGAAACTTGCCTACATACAGTAGGATCTTTCGTCTGGAACTAAAAGTTCTGCTATAGCCATGTTCTACCAACTGTACTATCCAGGCCTACCCAAGACTACTGTAAATACAAGTGGGCTTCTTTTTTTTTATTAGCCTACAGCTTACCCCTAACTACCAATTATTAATTCTCTCTTTTTTCCAGAAGTAATACTTTTGCTCCTCATCATGCCCTCTGACCTAAAAAAATCTGGGGGATTTCACTGTAGGCCTATTTCACCAATATTTGATGTTTTGCAATGAGGTTTGATATTTCCTTGAAAACAATTATCATTTGCAATGGTTTTAGTGGCCATATGTTATGTTCTGCGACAAAAATTACGTTAAAAAGTTTAGCCCGGCGTGCGGGTCTAAAAACACAAATTTACCACAGTAGACCTACCACCTTAGGGAAAGGGAACACACATCATATGTGATAACCTAGACATGAAGAAGATCATGTGTCCAGTAGGTCTCGAACCTACTTTTCATACCAGTCTCATCACCCCACAGTCACACTGGGTGACAGGGAGACGATGTGATGTCAGATCAAGGTCACTGGCAATGTCTCAGCCTGTTCCATTAAACAATTAATTCGTAACATGTGGAATTTTAGGATAATCCGGAAAGGAAGAGGCTAGCCCTACTAGACAAACAGCAAAAAATAGGCTTACTGATTTGTAAATAAATTTTTAGTTTGCAATACATGAAGCTACAGCGAGCACCTAGCACATCTCTGTGATTGGCCCAAATATAGACGCATTTCCGCCATCTATTTTTGTCGTCTTCCAGGGCTTCCCTCGCCAGTTGACTAGATCTCATCATGGCGGGTCTGCTTTGCGTGTGTGTGTGTGCGTGTATATGTGTGCATGTATGTGTGTGTGTGCAAATTTGAGGAGAAGGTAAATTTATGGAACAAGAATTACTGAGATTGTTGTATAAAAGATAACACAAATTTATACAACAAAAAACCAAAGACGGCGAGATCTACTCAACAGATACTGGCGAAGGAAGCCCTAGAGTCTTGGGGGAAGCCCAGGAAGACGACGGAAATACGTCATCTGATCTATATTTGGGCAAATCACAGAGGTGTGTTAGGTGCTCGCTGTAGCTTTATGTGTTTGCAATACGTAAAAAATATTTGTATTTGAGATGAAACCAAAAGGAGCCTTTCACTTTCTGACAGTGCATAATTTTAAACCTGAATAATTACTACTAAACTAATGAGGCATGTGCGGTAGCGTAAATTGCGACAGTGACGCTGTGACAATGAATGGGGCGTAAATTGCGACAAAGTGAGTCTGTGACAAAAAAGAATTTAAAAAGAAAACAAAAATATGCACACACGCACTCGCACACACACACACACATGTGCACACACACACCGACACATAAACTGAATGAAAATTATATATATCTAGTCTAAATCTAGATAGTCTAGAAAATATATATCTCTAGATCTAGAGATAGATTATCTAGGAATCCAGGCTATCTAGAACCTAGATCTGGAGATCTCTAATTCTAGGTCTAGATGATTTATCTACTTCCACAATGACCGTCATGTTAACAAACGGGACCACAATTCTACACGAGTGCCCAGACATACACACACACACAAAACTAACAGATAAACAGACAGTTGCAGCTCGTTTCTTGTTGTTGTCGCTGTTGTTGCCCCTAGTGGTTTTTGTTGCTGTTGTATGCTGCTGATGTTTTGTTGTAATATTTGTTGCCTCGATATTTGGGAAATAGTAGAGATGATGTGAATCATCAACACAAAAGAGTTCCGTGTTCACTCTCGCAATTAACGCTGCGTTAGTTGTCACAGTGTAACTCTGTCGTATTTAACACTAGATTTTTCTACCGTTAGCAATACTTTAATTACTTGTAATATATCACTTGTATTTCAGACGAAACAAAAAGGCACCTTACTAACAAAGTGACATGCATGTATTTTAAACCTGAATAATTACTAGATCTAGATCAAATGAGGCCTGTTTACTCCACAGTAGGTTTCGGTCAGAAGGGCCTAGCCACTAGCCATACTTATAAGTACAGTACAGCTCGCCACTTCGATCCGGAAAAGCCATACAACAGAAGTAACACAACTTTACATAGATCTAGGCCTAATGTTCAATTGCTGGAATTTTGCTCACACACTGGAAGTAGATCTAGATCAAGATCTAGATCTAGCTAGAGTCTAGATCTCTAGATTCTAGATGTCTAGATCTCCAGCCGAGATTCTAGATGTACAAAGTCTAGAATCTAGATTCTTGCATTTTACAGAGAGTCTAAAAATCAGAAACAGTATTTTTTTTACCCTCACTCACTCCCGTCTAACACTTAGAGCCTACCAGTTGTCCATTTTCTACTAAACACACTGAACTAAATGCGCTGAACACATATATCAACTTCATTTCCGTTGCAAATTATAAGTATTAGTTTTTGAAATATAATCCGATTGTTCTGAATGGAAAGACGTGCTTTGGACCAATCAGGGGGTTCCAGGGGGGCCTGCCCCCCATGGGTAAAAGAAAATCTGTGGCGTTACAGGGAGCACATATATCATGATATATATATGCCCCCCTGGGTCTGGGTAACC